CTAGAATTATTATGCAGCTCCTAGACCCTTCCCCCTCAGAACAGACTCCATTGAACCAGGAAGGCATCTGCCTGAGTGGCTTAAAAATGCTTTTGCCCGTTGGCCTAGCAACTATTTCTGTATCTTTTCTTCATGGTCATCTTCCTTACTTTCTACATCCTCAATGTCAGACGTCCCCAACCTTTTGAGCACCAGGGACTGGTTCCCTGGAGAGGTTTTCTGCGGACTGGAGGGGGTGTGGTTTCATGTACTGCCTGCATCCCGCAGATGAGTCTTTGCTTCTTTGCACGGACCGGTTTCTGGCATGCTGCAGCCTGATGGTAGTCCATGGACTGGGGGTTGGGAACCTCTGCTCTATGTGCCCCCCAAAACTCATAAAGGCTTTGAGCTAAGAGTACATTTTTTTACTGCTTTGTGTGCCAATGTTTCTTTTTCTTCTGTTTCTTTCATTCATTGAAATCAATTAGCTAAAAAAGAGAACTATGTGGGGAAATTCATAATATTGAATTCTTCCCCCCTCTTGCTATTACACTGAAAGATATTAGTTTACTTCCTTAAATGAAAAACATTGACCTTTCAAATACTGAATAATTTTGTGGCTAGACCCCCTTTGTTAGATATACTTCCTGCCTCTAAGGTAGGATACATAGCATTCTATGCTCCATTTTTTGCCCATAACAACATTCCTGTGAGGTAGGTTGAGCTGAGACAGAGTGATTGACCCCAGATCACCCAGTGAGTTTTCATGGTTAATGGTAGATTTGAACCTGGGTCCCTCAGTGCCATCCTATAACACTTTAACCACCACACCACTCTAGCTTGGTTTCCTAATCCAAATGTAGCTCCCTATCTAAACTTTGTTGTATTTCAGAAGGTCGAGAAAAACCCTCCTGTTACTGTTCTGTTCACCCTTATTTGTTCTAAATCCTCACTTTCCTGTCTGGTAAGCAATAGGGTGAACTATCTTGAAAGATGTCAAAATTGCATTATTGGAGTTCTCAGACCTGGTTTTGCGTCTTGCTGGTGTCTCAATATCTACTAGATAACATTATCAAAGCTACATGAATTCACGATCACCACAATGTCAATGTTTTGGGTCAATTTTTGTTCTTTTTGTTGCAATTGGTGACATCAGTCAGGCAGAATATAGCCTTTAGTCTTGTGTAGAAAAAACAACATAAGCAAGGCTTGCTGGATCAGGTCAACAGCTCATCTAATCCTTCATTTAGTTCCACACAATGGGCCACTAAATGTTTTCAGGAAGTTTACAAAGAATAACCAGGAAGATGATTGACTGTAACAACTGTTGCTTTCAAGCAGCAATTATTTAACAAATATTGCCTATGATTTAAGAAACAGTACACCATAGGTAGTAATAAAACTAACATTCCCCTTTTGAAACCATAGAGTCCATCTAAATTATACACAGCAAACCTTATGTTAGGGTTGTCTATTTTGTTGTTTGAACCCAACCAGTGAATTCTACTGTTGAAAGAAAAATCATCAGGTACAGTTCCAAGCCAGGAGTAAATAAAATAGAGACTAAGACGCTGGAAATAAAATGGAGGCTAGCTGTTTGGAAAGAAGGTTTAATGATGAACAGAACCAACAACAGCATGTAGTTCTGGGACAGCTGACAAAATGGATTTGAGAATGGGTGGGTTTTTATTCTTTAGGATTTTGTGTTGGAGATGCCTGTTGTGAAATATACTTTGACCTGTGTAAGAATGTGCCCTTTTGGTATTACAATTATTGTTGCCTGACTCCCATTATGGCTGGGATGTCCTGTCCTGCAATTGGAGCTGGGTGGGGAAATGTAAATTCTTAATCCCATCAGCCGTGGGGGCTAAAGGTGTTTGGTTTATGAATAGATTGGTTCAGTCTTTCTGAATATCCATTCAAAATCTCCAAATGGCCTTTTTGCTTGAGGCTTTTTGTCTATAGCAGGAAAACTGGGGCTACTTTCTGCTTTTGTTAAGATTTTTTCCCCTTTTCTCCTTCAGAGGAAATATTCTATCCTGCCTCTTTTAATATTCCCCAAAATATTTCATTCTCGGGGTGGGGAGGCTGAGTTCCTACACTACCAAAAAGTATTTTGCAGTATTATTCAGAATTATACTGTGTGACAATTGCAGCCAAATGGCAAGGAAGTGGCAACAAATCACACTGAGGTCATACTGCAACTCAGCTGGTGTCTTTGAACATCAGCAGATTGGCATCCTAATTATGATTGCTTGCTAAGCTTGAGTGTGGGTTTTCAGCTGAAAGCATCTTAAATAGGCTTGTTGTTTAATGACCTGGCCATTGGGAGGCAGCAAAGCAACACCGATGGGGAAGCATTTGCTGTCTATTGAAAAAAGTTCATGAATATTGAAATAAGTATCCATGCTGCCAGGCTTCAGTGCTTCCATCTATTAATGGGTGGAAGAGCAAGAGAAAAAGAAAGAAAGGAAGAAAGACAAGGACAGGCAGGAAAGAAAGGAAGAAAGAAAGAAAGAAAAAAAGAAAGAAAGGAAGGAAGGAAGGAAGGAAGGAAGGAAGGAAGGAAGGAAGAAAGAAAGAAAGAAAGAAAGAAGGAAAGAAAGGAAAGAAAGAAGGAAGGAAGGCAAGCTTTGGATTGTATGAAAGTGATAGAGAGTGGGGGAAAAAGGAGTTGGATGGAGACTTCTTTAAACTGACAATGTCAGTCTTCTCAAAATTCACTGGCTAGACATTGCCACTATAACTTGTTGCATTTAGAGAGGTCAGGTTCAGGAAAATTGCTAAAACTTGCCTTTTAGAGAGTGACTCACCTAGTTTGGCATGAATTGGCAGTGCTTCTTGGTTATTCAGGGAAATAACCTAGATTTAATAAGAAATGACATGGGTTGGACCAGGGACTTTTTGTACAAAGCAGCCACACCCAAACTGAATTTTCTCTAGCACTTTTGTTGCTTTGTCTTCTGTTTTATTATGTTCAGAGCAAGTTTTGTTGAATCCTGGGAAATGTCATTTTCAAAGATTTTTTGAGCTTTCCACATCACCTGGATATGACTGGAAAATGAATAGTTAATGGGTACTGTCTGTGCAGGTAGAATAAGGAGAAACTGTACATGGCACATGCGAAAATGCTATCTCTTCATGCCACATCATGAAAGGAACCATTCTATGATTGGGACAATTGGATTTTATTTATTACATTTATGGAATGATTTATTATCTGACTTAAAGGTGAACCAATCTACTAGTGGAAACCACACAAGTTTATCTTAACAGCCCTTGGGACAGACCACAAAGTTCTGCCCACTGAAGAGGAAGTTTCACTGAAGGTTTTTGTGGTTCTCCCTTCCTAGTTCCCATTTAAAATACAGGTGCTGGTTTAAGATAACTTATGAGCCAGCATTTTCAAATGCATAGGCAAACTATTAAGGAGGCTACCTGAATCGATGGCCCTTGGTAATTTGAAGGTTTTGCTTCAGGCATTTGTTTAACTCCTTCATCTTGCACACCACACCTAGACACTAGCAGTGTACAGTGGAAGTGTAGAGGACAGAGTGTGTGATACTGATTTGTCCAACACTACAGTACACACACACATGCACACACACACACACACACGCACACACATACACACACACAAAATCATGAGGCCATCACACTTTATATTCTGCTTGTATGTGAGTGTATTTGTGTATGTGTATATATATATATGTGTTTGTGTGTCTATCTATCTATCTATCTATCTATCTATCTAATCTAATCTAATCTAATCTAATCTAATCTAATCTAGTGTGATGGCCTCATGACTGAATATTTTATTCTATAGGTATGTACTGTATGAACAATTTCTTTTGCTATGCTAATAGACTTATAAACATTTTTTTAAAAAATAAACAATAACTTGTGTTTTACAACTCTGCCTGAAAGTAGAATCTGGGTGTATTTGTGTGCCAATAGCTGCACACTGCAACTGTTGCACTTTTATTGCCAATAATGTAAATTGGAGGTTATTTAAGGTGAAGGGTGTGAACTCAAGAATCTGATTTTCTTCCCAACTTTTAAAACTGTAAACATTTTGAAGAAATCTTACATTTTCCTTTTATATTTGGAACTGCAGGCTTTTCCTTGCTGAATTAGGCAATGGGGATTCAAAATGTGTTCTTTATTTAATCTTGAGTATTTATCTAGATTAAACACTGCATTCTCTTCAGACTTTTAAATAAACATTGCCTTCTAGCAGTTGAATTGCTTACAGTTAGGCAAGTCATATGGATAAAAAAAATGTGACACAAATTGCTAAGAAACATTGAGTGACTTTTTCTGCCTGAATTGTGGCACAAACAATCGTGCCATTAGCAAAGGTCATGGAGGAATGTAACTCACAATTTTTTGTTAGTGACATTTTTAATACAAAGATCAAATTCATCAGTGGCAAAGAAAACTGCAGAAAATATGCTACGCACAGAAGAGCACAAATTTTTTTAGAATGATTATCCATCCTCCTTTGCCCTGGTTTTCCAATGCCAGGCTAATCCTCTGAGCGTGTTAAAGAAAATTAATATCATTTAGTCCCATGTTTTCAGTCTGTGAGGCAGTCCAGTGAGGAAGCATACCCAGATGAATTAATTCTACTTTATTGTAAGGTTACATTAACAGAATCTTGCAAGTCTGAAAGTACATTTCTCCTCTGTTACTTTTACAGCCCAAGAAGCTAGGGAGAATCCCTGCTTTGGGCTAAGCTGCCTCTTATCTCACCATTCCTCTGGCTGTGGCTGTTTTAACCTGTCTCCCAAAATTATTCCTGTACAGTGATGCCTCAGTACTCCACTGCTTCAAAACTAGTTTTCACTGACCCATTTTGACATGAAAATATCATCTCAGTACTCAGCATTTGTCTAGTACAGTGTTCCTCAACCTTGACAATTTTAAGGCATGTGGACTTCAACTCCCAGAATTCTGTGAGTTGAAGTCCACATGCCTTAAAATTTTTAAGGTTGAGAAACACTGGTCTAGTACTTGACATGTTGTAATAGGAAGAGGGCAGGGGCAGCTGTGAGGTTGCTACAAAAGGCCGGGAACAGCCTCAGAGGGTGGACAGGAAGTTGGCCATGCTGGGAAGGTTGCTGATATAAAAAAAGGGAGAGACAGAAGTTATTTCCAGCCAAAACAAAGGGTCACATGGTAATTCACATAGTTTGTTTGGGACTTGTCCTTTTAAATATTCATCGCACTTCCTGGAACCAATTAATGTGTAAAGAGGTACCACTGTATACCATTACACATGCAGTTGCACCCTGTCATTATAGCAATACTCTGTAAATCATGCAGACATAAAACCAACGTGTTATGGCCTGTCTGTAAATTCATGAGTTGGAAGAAATTCCAAATTAATGTCAGTAAAAAGAGGCTATCTATAAAAATTTACCATAAGTATTTGGAACTAAGAAGGAAAAATTTATTTTAGAAGAATAATCATGTTGCACTGTAAAGCCAAGCATGTTGTTTAAATGCAGTTTTTAAAAAATGTGTAAAACTGAAGTTCCACAAGTCTTGCATTGCTTCTCAGTAACTTATAAGCACTATTTTAGTTGATTGATGTCACTGAAGGTCATCAGATAGGACTGTATTCTTTTCTCCCCTTCCCCCTTTAATATGGTCTGGGAAATAAATAACATTTTTAGTTCTGGATAGTTCATATTGCAACAATAATAAAGAACAAATGTATTCTTTCCCCTAAGTGCACATTAGTTTCAATTTAGGCTGGTAGAACCCCAGAATTATTCTACTGAGTGGCCCAAAGGCATTGCAGTGAAAGGATCCTCAAATTAGGTGAACTACGGCTGTGAAAAGTTTTGCTTCACTAATACTTTTAGCAGAGTACTTTTGCGAAGTTGTTTATAAAGAAAAGGAATGAGTAAATCATTGTGTTGTTGGATATGCAACCAAAGTAACACTGTGTTAAATTATATGTCTTTGCAATATCCTAAAGTTATGATGTTCTAGGAAATAGTCATTTGATGTTGACTAGATATATAGAATGTTAAGAGCTAAGTTGTTCTCACGGCTGTGTAGGCTACTCCAATGTAGAATTGTCATATAAGAGAAAGCAAAGGTAAGCTCATAGTTGGCCACATTTACACTTTTTAGAAATAACAATAAATAAAACCCAAATTTATCTTAGTCTTGCTTGACCCAAACAAGTCTGTTAGGAAAGTTTAACAAGATGAGAACTCTCACTGGTGGACTGCTCATGTCAATGTTAGAATGCCCATCACTCAGGTCCCTCCAGTTTTCTTTATATATGGAACTGATATACATCTCTATAGCTCTATATTTCTACATGTCTATATTTTATATCTCTATATTTCTATCGCGCATGCGTGTGTGAGAGAGAGAGACAGAAAGAGGCTGAAACTTTGTCAAACTAGATCACCCATTGAAACTGATCAGAACCTTAATGATAAACACATATGTCTAAAATCAGGGAGATGTAGGTTTATGTCTATTATCAGCTACAGAATATGTCTGTTACTTTGGCCAATTGTTTTGTGACCTAGATTTGGGACAGGTGCTGTTTGAAAGAAATGTCATGACTTTAAATTAATAGTTCAAGAAGTCATTCTCTTTATTATGTGGATAGAGAGTAGCATACAATGAACTTGTTATATCCATGTTTGTTCTGAATAAAGACAGTTTATTGCTGCTGCTTGTCTTTAGATGAGATTGTGCTATCACATACATGTTCAAATAATTAATCTTTCTTTGTCAACAGTAATGCAACTTGAAGAATTCAATGCCCAAAATTAAAAGAACAGTAGCATATGAGATTTATTAAGAGATTCTGAAAATAAGCAGGGGAAAAATCCTTTCTTGTTTTTATTTTGGCAAATCTTTATTCAGTTTTTTGACTAGGGAAGATATTGAGATTTCCAGAAAGTCTACTTGAGAATATCTTAAGAAACTATTGAGACAGTTCAAGATTAAAAAGAAGGGTAGCTTCTGATAAGGAATAGGATTAAATTCTTCAATATTTTTTTCTCATTATTTGCACCTTGTTCAATTTAGGCCTTAACACAATGATATAACATTTTGGAAAAAAGATACAACCTAGCAGTCCAGCACTGGAGGCTAAGATAGAAAAGATCTCCACAGCAACTGTATATTTTCCCTTGGAACTCAGGTAGGTTGGAATAAAAGAAAGCCAAACACTACAAAAGACCAACATACTGAAAGTGATGAACTTGGCTTCATTAAAAGTATCTGGTAACTTCCTGGCAAAAAAAGCCACAGCAAAACTGATAATGGCCAGGAAACCCAGATAGCCCAACACAGAGTAAAACATAATCATAGAACCTGTACTGCAATGCAGTACAATTTCTTCAGCCACTGAATGCATATCCATATCTGGAAATGGGGGAGAAATTGTCAACCATCCAATGCAGAGGCCTGCTTGAATAAGGAAGCAGGAAAGAACAATGGAGCTGGCCAGTCTTTTCCCCAGCCATTTCCTCATCCTGGATCCTGGTTTGGTGGCCATGAAAGCCAGAACCACTGTGATGGTTTTGGCCAGTACACAAGAAACAGCCACTGAAAAGATGATTCCCAAGGCTGTTTGTTGGAGAAGACAGACCACTTTTCCTGGTTTCCCAATGAATAGCAATGTGCAAAGGAAGCTGAGCAGGAGGGAGATGAGGAGAGTGTAGGTAAGACTCTGATTGTTGGCTCTGACAATGGGAGTATGGTGATGTGTCATAAATATGCCAAGCACTAGAGCTGTCATTGAAAAAAAGAGAAAAGCCAGGAAGGTAAAAGTAATTCCCAAAGGTTCTTTGTAAGATAAAAAAGTTATAATCTTAGGGTAACAGAAATCTTGATTCTCATTTGCATAATCTTTGTCTGAACATTTCTTACACTCATTCATATCTGAAAAAAAAGAAAAAGAAAAGACAGCTTTTAACTCTTGCAGTTGTCATAATTCTCTGCCTTAATTACAGGTACTCCTCCAGTTACGACCACAATGAGACTAAAATTTATGTTGTTAAATGAAACATTTGTTAAGTGAGTTTTGCCCCATTTTAGGACCTTTCTTCCCACAGTTGTTAAGAGAATCATTGCACTTGCTAAGTTAGTAACACCAGTAGTGGGATTCAAATATGTGAACAACTGGTTCTCTGTGTGGATGCTGCTTTCGGAAGTCCGTTCTGGCCTGGGCAACAAAAAATTAGCTACCGGTTCTGCCGAAGTAGTGTGAACCGGCTGAATCCCACCACTGAGTAACACGATTGTCAAGTGAATCTGGCTTCCCCACTGACTTTGCTTGTCAGAAGTTTACAAAAGGTGATCACATGACCCTGGGACGCTGCAACGGTCATAAATATGAACCAATTGCTAAGCATCTGAATTTTGATCATCTGACCATGGGGATGCTGCAAAGGTTGTAACTGTGAGAAACGGTCATAAGTCACTTTTTTCAGCGCTGTTGTAACTTTGAATGGTCACTAAGTGAACTGTTGTGTCAAGAATTATTGTATTCCTTTCAGGCAGCTAAGATTATTAACCCCACTAAGTCTTGATGCATTTCCTTTGATTTTGGATTAGCATATTACCTAGTTACTTTGGTTGAATATAGCATATATACTATACCACACATATACTTCCACCATAGTTTCATCAGTCTGCTAATATATTTCTGAAAGAGGCATTTAATTATCCTTTTGCAGAAATCTTTCTCTGCAAATTCCTTTGACATTTGGCAGCAGTATAAATTGCACTGACTATTTCATTAGATCTACTTGAAAAAGTGACCATACTTTTTAAGAAATAAGAAAAGCTTTCTGTTTTCTGAAGCAAGGCTGGAAGCAATTCTGTGACAGTGGCCTTTATGTCCTTAGAAAGCTATAGCATACCTTGCAAACTTCATTCATTTGAGCTGAAAATATAAATGTTACAGCAGTTTGGATTTTTTTTTCCATAAGAGACCAACTCTTTTTTTATGAATCATATCTCAGATCTCTCCATGAAGTCCTGCTGCGCTGCCTCATCATGACAAGGGAGGGAAAGACAGATGTTTCTGGAAGGGATGAGTGAAGAAAGCTGGGAGTACATGTCAAATGTATATACTCCCAGAAGGGTCACCCAAGGTGTGAAGGTCATCCCAGCTGCTCAGACAAAATATTCAGGGACCTACATTGGGCAACAGCAATAAAGGAAAATGCTGGAGGTGGCAAACCGATCATTTCATACTGCACTGGAGAAGGAAATGGTAAACCACTCCAAGAAAACTGCATGGACAGAAAATCTTGGAGAAAATGTACCTATGAGATTGCTAAGGGTCAACACAGAACACAATACTTGAGAGGCTACCACAAAGATGAGGGGGTCAACCTATTTTCCAAAGCAATTTTTTTTATAGGATTAGGAATAAGAAATTTTGAAATGGTGAGAACAATTAAACAATGGAATGCCTTGCCATAAGTGCTCCATCGCTGGAAGCTTTTAAGAAGACACTGGACAGCCACTTGTCTGAAATGGTATAGGGTCTCCTGCTTGAGCAGGGGGTTGGACTAGAAGGCATCCAAGATCCCTTCCAACTCTGTTATTCTATGTTCTAAAATTGACTTGTTGGCACATAACTATTAATCCCAGATCTAGTCCTCAAGTTTCTACAATAATGGAGCCTGCCCATAATGGTCATGGTGGTTTTAAAATGGATCATCACATGACCAGATCCATTTCAATTACTTTTTTTGCAGTGGTCATTAAGTGAATATTTCAGTTGTTAAGCAAACCAATGGGACATTTTTGTGGATAACTAGAAGTAAATGCCAGTTTTCAGCAAAAAAAAAAAACATTGTAAAACATGGTCATGTGAACAGCCATAAATTTTGGCCAGTTGCTGAGCACCTCAAATGCAGTCATGTGACCATGGGATGGTGGTGGGGAAAGCTGTTTATTGGAACTTCAAAACTGAGTCATAAGTACCACAGGGAGGTTTTTCAAAATTTTGTAACTGGGTTGTAAGTACCCTCAGGGAAGTCCAGCATAATTCTCAACAGTTGCTAAGTGATATGTTGAGAACTATCTGTTAAGTTCAAATAGTCCAAGGTAAGCTTGGAGCAGATCTGACCATTTCATGCAATCGAACTTGGCTCTCAAAATGAAGTCACCTTTCTTCTATCTGTAAACTACTGTTGTTGTTTTTTACCTTCCTTGTCTGAAATCTTCCCTTCAGGACACCGGATACAGTCATAACAGCAAAATTGCTCCCCTTCCCTCACTTTTTTGCTAGAGCCAGGATAGCAGTGTTCACTACATAGGGATAAAGGTCGAGTCTGAAATAAAAGAGAAGAACATTAATATTGAAAATAATGAGATAAAAAAGCTTAGTTCTTGGGCTTTTTTGTATGTTACTAAACTGATAAAACATGTTTCAATAATATATGGGTTAGGTAGGCTCAGTGAAGAGATCTCCATTTGGGTACTGCTTGACAACAGAATAATGGACATAATGGAATGTAATTTAAACTAGCTTGACTCTTACGATATTATCATTGCTAAGAAAATTCATGATTGATTTCTTTACATTTTGGAGGGGAAATTATTTTCCTAGACAATACGTTTGAACGTACTTTAACCTGATATATAACTTTATCCCTTGCCTCATTTTAAGCTAAAAATCATGTTTTGGTTCTTTGGTTTTACAGCATCTTTTTGCTGTTCATTAAAACATGTTTGTCTGCAGGACACTAAGAGGATGGGAGGCAAATGATGGCTTATACTTGCATCAGACATCATTATATAATCATTCCATTTGTCTGATGATGTTGTGTATTGTCCTTTTGACATCCTTTTGGCTTGTTATGAACATTTCTGGTCCAAAGGATCTCTAAACAGCATCAGTTCCTGCTTAATATTTTTCTTTCTTTCTTTCTTTCTTTCTTTCTTTCTTTCTTTCTTTCTTTCTTTCTTTCTTTCTTTCTTTCTTTCTTTCTTTCTTTCTTTCTTTCTTTCTTTCTTCTTTCCTTCCATCCATCCTTTTTTTCCATTTTTCTATTTTAAATTCCCAATTATATTTTCTTACTAAATAAATTTTCTGGCAAGATTACTAGGGTAGAAACCTCTGTGCTGTTCCATATCTCTACCTGTACTCCTATCTGTACCTGTATCTATACAGGTAGCCCTCTACTTACAACAGTTCATTTAGTGACCATTCGAAGTTACAACAACACTGAAAAAAGTGACTTATGAACATTTTTCACTGTTATATCTGTTGCAATGTCCCCATGGTCATGTGATCAAAATTTAGATGCTTGAAAACTGATTTATATTTAGGACAGTTGCAATGTCCCAGGGTCATGTGATCACCTTTACAACCTTTGGACAAGCAAAGTCAGTGGGAAAACCAGATTCACTTAACAACAGTGTTGCTAACTTAACAACTGCAGTGATTCCCTTGACAACTATGGCAAGAAAGGGTGTAAAATGGGTCAAAACTCACTTAATATATGTTTCACTTAGCAACATAAATTTTGGGTTCAATTGTGGTCGTAAGTTGATCTGTATCTGTATCCATCTGTGTGTCTCTGTGTGTATGTGTATGTATATATTCTGAGGTTTTCACGGGTATTTGTATGTAGGTCTTTGGTTATTCAGGCATTTTTACTTAAAACTCTCCCAGTGATTGAGTATTATTTATTTTATATCTATACACACACACACACACACATACACACACACACACACACACACACACACACACGGATGGATAGGGGGGCCGGCTCTTTAAGGAAGCTTGGCTCTCAAACAAGGAGTCTATCAACAGGAATGTGGACCTATGTCCTGCACATGTAATATTAAGAGCATGGATCACGGGTGATCGATCTCCCAGAAAGAAACAATTTAACACCGCAATGTGCCTTCTGGAGAGAGAGGTGGTGGAGGAGAAGAACCCCGAAAGTACCCAGATAGGGAGTAATCAGAAACTGAGCAACCTTCTGAATACGGGGGCGTATGCTCACCCCCAACGGGTGGAAGAACGTATTGACATCAGGGAGCCAACTGCCGATGGATCGGATGTCTCTCCGTGCCTTGTGAAGAGCTCGGTAAGGACGCAGTTTTGTACTAGCACCCGGATGCAGAGTGATCACCCCATCGGTGACTCTGCGATTAATTCCACCCATGTTATTGCCTCAAGAGTGTGCTCTCGCTTCGGGGATGTAGGAGAACTACGGGAGGATGAAGAGGCAATTACTTACAACTTTAGAGCCTCTACACGCTCCCGGAAACACTTGAGAGGAATGATCCCCCCTGGAAATACACAAGGAGGGGAAAACCGAGAACCGAAGGACCCCCCTTCCCTCCCCTTGAGGATGATCACGCACCCCCAAAGAATGGGGAAATGGATGAGTAGCGGAGAGGGGGTGACCCCTACACCGAAGATTTTATGTGGAGAGGAGGGTAGAAGCCAACTTGAGGGTGTTACGGGGATATACCCGAAAGCGTGTTTCACATTGGTGACCTGGGTGCACCAACGGGGACCGTGGACGGACTCCAGCGATGCCATTAAAATGTTCCCATTGATGAGAAAATGAAAGGGAAAGCTAGTGAGGAAGCACTGGAGAATGGGAGTCATGATAAGACAATCACAATGAAATCCCGTGACGTAGGGAAAGACAATGAGGATGTAGCTGTGAAAAAGGACCATGGAAAGAGGGAAGGTGGGAGGAGAACAGCGACGGGGAGTGCTAGGAAAGAAGGTGAGGAGAGCAAACAGCGAAAAGATGTTCAACATACGTTTGATCACATGAAACTAAGGGGTTTCCTTAGCTCACGGTCACATGAGGAGGGGAGAAAGGGTGATGGTATGGATACAAGCAAAGAAAGCAAGGAAACAATGGCTAGCAATATGGAAATTACGACCAAAACACAGGTGGATTGGCTGGGACCTGTGATGAGGTCTAGGAGCAGGGCGCAAAGAGTGCCATAAATAGCTCCCCATCAACTAGAAGTTACCCTGACGATGCTGGAAGTAGCCAGTGAAAGCTTGGTATTTTATCTCATTAAAACTTTTATA